TTATTGTATAAAATATACTATCATCTTAAGCACCCTCTTGGATCTACAAAAATATTTTAAATATAAGTAAGGAAAGGGTGAGATCTTTATGTTGAAATGTAAAACATCCTGATCTTTAAACATTTTAAGTATTTGTGATTTTGTTAAATCAATTTTCAATCCAAAACAAATACTATAATTTGTGTCTGAGCAACACATGACAAGCATAGCAATCTCTATATAACTAACAACAATTTACAGTGCAGTTTGCAGGTCAGCAAAAACAGAACTTAATGGGTATTTAGGAGTGTAAAATATTCTGTAAAATTATTTGTATATAATTGCATCAAATATTAGAATAAATTTACAAAAATTTAAATTAGGACATTTTAAACTTTCTAATTTAGTACAGTCTCATCAGGCATTTTATTGGCTTTGTAGAATAGATGTTAGAAAGCATTACATTGTCGACAGGCTTTTTTTTAAAAAAACAGAATTCTTTCAATTATGAATCCTTTCTTTTCTCCCTCACTGTCTATTTCATTTATTTAATTTAGAGGATTTAAATCTGATAGTAAATTTTATAATAAGAATCCTCTTTTTTTAAATTTTTTTTGGTAAGCTAATTCACTCCTTTCACTCTTTTCATGTAGAAGGAAATCTATGATTTATTTTCTTCCTACTACATATATTACATATGTATGTAATAAAGATGCTCATATATACCATTTTATGTATAACCTCAAAGGATTTATTTCATTACATGGATCCTTATTATAAGGCTGGATATTGTGATATTAAAATTACAGATAATATTTTAAAATAGTTTAGCATTATAAAAAAAAAACCCCAAGATTTCCAACAGTTGCTTCTTATGACAGTTTTCATTTCTTTCCCTCCTCCTGACAGTTCCCATAATGACTTTAATCATATAGTCTGGAAATGGAGCAGGTTACTGAACAGCAACAAACTCACTGGTCAATGTCGGTGTCACTTTTCTGGGAGCAGGACTTTCTGAGCATCAAGGAACTAATTTTAACAGCCTGCTGGAAAAAAGTGTTAAGTGCATTAACCCCCTGTCAATCACATTTTTAGCATGCTGGCCAAATTATTATTATTATTTAGCTCAAGACATTCTATTGAAACTTATTTGTATGGTATTCTTATCTGTGTACCTTATGTGACTAATGATGATTGTTTATGGAGAGGTGCCTGTCCAATTATTTTTGAAGGAACACAAGAATGCAGAATGACTGGAAGCATCAGGTTTTTGCCAGAGAATGCCTCAGGTAAGAGGAGAATGGCTAGAGGCTATAAGGAATCACAAGAGACAAGTCAGAGTCGTAAATTGGGAAACTGACATATCTCATCTAATATACTTGCTAACTAGGCCTTTAAAAACCTTGACATTTAACTAAGTTTGTGGAAAAGTTATATATTTTGTCCTTTTCTATTGGCTATAACTCATTAATATGATGAACTGAGGTGTTTATAATCATTATCAGCATTAGCTGACCAGCATATGGGATCATTTAGAGATCCAGTTAAGCACCTAACAACTGCTCGGTTGTTTGTGTAGGTTGTGCCTTTTTCAAAGTCAAGTCAGTCAAAAATGATATTGCAAGTTATTTACCCTTTTGGTACTTCAGTGTGTGAAACAGGATGAAAGAATGCTGGTATTCAGCTGAGGCATTTAAATAATGCTTTGGAAGTTCTGGCCTGCTTAGAACACACTGCAATCCTTACTGTAAAACAGAAATTTCTGATGGTTTCAAGAAAAAAAAGGTAATACAAAAACAAACTTTGCAGTGAATGCTGCCTATTAACTTAAAACAATTTAAATACGTTAGGGACTTGACTTTATTCCTGGTGAAAATTGTCTTTACCCATTAATGCTCCAAGGATAAGACATCAATGGATAATTAAATACATACCCTGCCCTGACTCTGATCCTATGTATACAGATTTTTATATAGGGGGGAAAAATAAATCTAATTTCTATGAAAAAAAATAAACCAACAAAAATGCAAGCCATGGAATTCTGTGAAATGAATAACAAAAGGAACTCACTTAAGGATGAAAAGTGGAGATGATCACAAAAAAAGCAGAAGGAGGCACTGTAGCTCAGTAGCTAGAAAAGAGTATGATTTAATTTCTGAAGAGCTCTCCTCTCTGAAGAATCAAATTAAAACAAAATAATTTGTGGGCAAGCATTTTAATTCTTTGGGATTGCTGTAATTTTTTCAAAAATATGAAGAGAGCTAGTCAATGGAGGGAGAGGGAAGCTATTAAGGATTGTTTTCCCAGGGCAGGAAGCTAAAATTCAGTAGGAAGTGGCATTTTGACAAGCACTTTGTATTTCCAACCAAAATGGAAACTTGCTTATTTAGTGCAACTGGAAAACAATTAATTGAGGACCTCCCCCCCGCCACCATTTTAATCCTACACATTAGAAACTATATTGACTTTTAGAGGATTTGAGCTAAGTCTACCAGCACTAGGAATTCATTCCTTTTACCTAATGTATTTTGGAACATGAATAAATTATATGGCTACATATTACAGTGGGAGAGAAAATGACTACTGCTTCTCAGGCTGTGTGACGTTTTCCATGCTATCCCCATTTTCAGCAGCTCATAACTTTCTGAAAACTTCTGGCTGCTGGGTGAAATTTTTCATAGTTTAGGTCTCTGTTGGATGAAAAATTATTTTTTGAAAGTTTGAGGGACTCGTTCCATTATTTCTGGATATGTGTGAATAAAAACATACAGCCCGTCAGGCAAACAGGCTTTTTCCTTCTGCACTGCACTGTCATCTAAATGGAGAGGAGAAAGGGGATCATTTTATGGGAATTTGGGGACTGCAAATGAATAATTTCATGTCTGCTCAAAGAGCTGCTTAGTTTGAAAACAATAAAAATCTTAGAGGAATTTCCAATTTCATCCACCCTGCTGCTGAATTCCCAAAGCTCTTTTTCCTCAGTACATTTTTTCAGGTGATAACCACACAAACTTGTCAAACATAAGAGTTCTTTATCTGGTCACTTATGATCAATTACTTGGCAATATTTTGACTGGCCTGAGATCGCTGAAGACTGTTTGCTGGGTTATATTCAAGTACGCCTTCAGGTGCAGTGAAATGAAATTAGAATGTTCCAGCCCTTGTGGGCTCCTTGAAATGCTGCATTCCATCAAGAACCTAATCTTTCAGAGGAACACGGGACATGTTCATTTTCTTCCAGTTACACTTATCCAGTTGGTTAAAGAAATAAGAAGGCTTTACCAAGTTGGTTAGAAAAGTAAGTGTAAGTAACTTTGAAAAGACATCTATGCTTGTAAAAAGTAAAATCTGACTGTTTCAGCTGTTTCTCCCATCCTCCTCAGGTGAGAAATTCAGTTCCACAGGTGTACTGCTGGGAACTTTCACAGAGGCAATAGACTCCTAAATATTGGTATTTATGCCAGAAATTTGGCTACAAATAATTCTCAGCCAGCGAAGAAATAGAAAGAATATTATCTCACTCAATGTCCACAAAACCCAGTAAAATATTGTAACAAACTGCCTGCAAAACAAGAATGGCTGTGAAAAGTCTGGTATATACATGCTTTGGGTAAGAAAGGGAATAATTTCTATAGCAAGAAGCTGAAAATTTGGATCATAAGACAAGAGACATAATTGCAGGTTTTCTGAGTTTCAAGTGCAGTGGAGCTGCTTTATCCTACAAACTTAGTGACACTTTCACCATATTCATCTCTGAGTTGGTGTCAATTTAAATAAAAGTTTATAAGCAAAATATTGAATGCAATCTGTAGAAATATTTAATTTTGGAGGGACAGCCTAGAAGGAAATACATCTTCCCTCTAGAATGAAAAAATGGGTGGGGAAGAGTTTGCTTTCTTCCTTAAAATAATTCAGTGTCTCAGCAGATGATACTTAATTGATAAATTTGGACAAGTGACTGGGAAAACTGTTTCTTTCAACGTTCTGAATTTAATCTCCATATCTGAATTGACAAAGCAAGTATATAGACAAAGAAGAGGAAAACCCAGTATTCCCATTCTTGTAAATTCTTTGCATTTGGATAAATTTCATTAAATACATCTATATACAGTGGAGTGGATTGTTACATCTTTCCCATCATGTGAACCCCACTGTGCCAGGTTTTAATGCTGGGTCTAAATTTGCAGTTAGCCATTTCTATAATGCTGTAGACTGAAGCATTAGACCCCAACTTGACTAAAATTCCAGCTCCCAGGCTTCATTGCTTAAATATGTTGTGTTTCAGTGTTATTTTATAGCTCTTATTTCCTGCTTTCCATGGATTAATTGCTAGGAATAAGTGAGTGGAAGTTAATTATTTGAAGTAATATCAGCAATTAATTGAAAAGGAGATACAAAAAGCTTTTGCTTCTGTAGGAGGGGCTGTTTCTGTTTATGAAGGTGAGTGAAGTCAGCAAACAAAGTTAATACAAGCTGCATACTGTACATTAGCTAAATTTGTACAAGCATTTTCTGGAAAGGTGTAGGTATGTCTTCAGCTGAAAGTATGGTTAATAAATCAGCAGCTCAGTACAGTCAAATTACGTGTGTCCAAGTGCTCTAAATACATTTGTTGTTCTCAGGTTGGCTGTTGTGCTCAGCTCAGCACTGCACATGTGATGGCTGCTGACTTCAGTGGGGCCTTCAGTCCTACATAAGGATATCTCTTCCTGCCCAACAGTTCCAAAGTTTGTTTAATCAGATCTGAGATGAGTGCATCACTGAACACAAATGGAATACTTGTAGAGAAGAGACTGGAAAACACACGGAACATTCACATTTTAAGCAAAACATTTTCACATGGGATTTCTTTTCCCACTAGGGTGCATGGGAAGAGAACAAGAGTATAACCAGTTCTATCTAAGTCTTCTGGCATTGATGAACGTTTAAGGGTGAGGAAAAGAGAATGAGCAGCCATGGCAACCCTTGTGGCATTGTGACTGCCTTTCCAAACTCCATGCCAGGGCAGAGCTGTGGGTTGATGTTGCAGCGTGGGTGAACAGAGAGAGAGGCTGGAAGCTGGATTAAGCTCTATGCCTCCCATCCCCATTTCCCAACAATGCTTCCTTTGTACCACTGAGCTATGTCTTTCAGTAGAAGAGTGCTGTGGAGCTTCAGAATTGTGAGTCTGGTGCAGGGAGAAGTATATAAAAGCACAGGCAGAAGGTTAGATGGAACATGAGTTGAGATGAAGGATGAGAAGTGAAGGCACATAACAAAGCAAGAGGCAACTGATAACCTCAAATATCTTTCCCTGTAGCAAATTTCTGAGATCTGAGGTCCAGACAGTTTTCAATATGTGATACATAAGGTCTTTATTGATATGTAGCTTGACCTTGATTCACTTGAGTCAGTGAGCCCTTGTGCTCACTTTTGTTCTATGTGTCCAAAACATAAATCTATTTCTGTTAAACAACTAATGCCATACATTAAAAAAATATGACATTTGTCACCTCGTATATGCAGTCCTTGCCTAAGGGACATCAACATGAGCCAAGGGCAATAGCACCAAGTTTGGTGGACCCTGTCCCTTAGCTTGCAGGACAAGCTTACTCTAATCACATAACATTCAGTGTCTTAGTTTCCTCATCTGAAGGACTTGGATAAGAACTTGCATTTTATTTGTAAATACTTAAGAATACTTCAGGGAAACAGATATTACTATTCTAACTTGAATCAGTTATGCCTGAATCGCAAGGTATCCCAAGTCCAGGCAACACCTTTCAGTGGATGAAAAAGGTTACCAGGTTAGACAGAACACATGAATCTGTGTGAATGGAACAATTAATTTAATCTACTTATTTTTATCTTTTTTTTTTTTTCTTTCTTCTGTGTTGGTATGCTTGGCCCTGTTGTGCTTGAAAAATCTAGGTTTGGCCATTTGAAGTGACTATGTTGAATATATTTATTTATAAATAACATACACACAAACATCTCTGAAGTATCTGAGACAAGAAATATCCACCTTCCCTCATTCTGTTTTGGTCACTTCCTAGTCCCAGCACATTCTTGGCACATATGCAGGTAATCTGTCTGGTTTACAAGAGAGTACATCATCTGATGCTATTGGTGAAAACAGTTTTAATAGTCTTCCTTTCTGAAAATAGCTCTGAAACTCTGATACTTCTATTAATGCCCATTTTACTGAACTGATCTTCTTCCAAAAGCCTGTAATATTTTCCTTTCTCTTGTTCAGGTACTGCTAATAAAGAGGTCCCAAGAGTGACTTTAGCTGTGTTTGTAATCTTTAGTTGCATCGACTGTGTTATTTAGATGTGCCCTTTTACTTTTAACAACTTTTTATCAGAGTCTTTAAAAGCAGTTGTTTTATCTTCAAAACTTACTGTCAGTGTTTCTATCTGCAGTCTTAGGGATATAATTTCCCGGTGCTCAGTATGCCTGGCTGTAGGAGACTTTATTTATTTTCACTGTTGCATAAGAACAAATGATTTCTCAGAAAATAATTCCAAGGAGCAGACATTGCTTTTCACCAGCAGGAATTGCTTGCAGCATTATCAAGGAGAGGGTGTCATTTACCATCTTTAAAAATTGTTTATCCATTGCAGGTTTAATTACAACAGCCTTCTAGTAACTGAAACCTTCTCTTATAGCTAAGCTAATCTGAATTCAGATAGGTTAGACCAATGTGTAGTTGATATTAAAAAGCACAGATTAATTTTAGGAAAGCAGCTGCCTCAGTTTCCTTTAAGTAATTATATTTACCATTCAGCCTTTAATAATTATTGTTTTCGTAAGTCTTACTTGCAGTTTAGAAATTCCCCATCCCCCAGTTCACATTTTCCTAAAACTCTCTCAAAAAGTTTAAAATACCAAAATAAACCATTTGTTATTCACCCTTTCCCAGAATGATCAACACCAGCAAAGACGCGAGATGTTTTTTAAAGCACGTGCTTTGAGCTTCTATCAGGCTTACCAATACATTTTCACCAACATCTGTTTGCTGTGAAATGAACTATTATTCCCATTTATTGATAAAGAATTGAAGTAAAAGACAATTTACTCCACCTCATACTGAGGAGTTATGATAGGACTATGAGAAAGGTTGCACTCCCCGATCTTGATGGAGGGTTTAAACAACATATCCCACAAAATTATTGACCAAAGAGAGATAAACTTGGCTGTGGAATTAATAATGCTTCTGCCATTATGAAGATGAAAAGAACAATCTGTCTTGTTTTAATATTACACTTGGTTTATGTCTTAAAAGTCTTCCTCAAATTACATGGTGTTGGGTGTCTGTATTGGGTTGATTTTTTAGGAGACTGATTCTAGAATACGTAGGGATGGATGGAAGAGAAATTTTTAACTCAACAGCTTTGAAAGTAGCAGGTGCCATTGTGTCTCTGCTTTTATAGCCTGTTTGCAACTATCACTAAGGGTTTGTAGATCTATTGGAAGGATGGAGATGAATAAATAATGTTTGGTGGCTGTGAAGCAATTTTTGTTGGATTGTTTGTGGATATAAAGAAGCTTCTCTTGTCTAGTGCTGTTAGCAAATCACTAGTGGAGATTGTGAGTAATTAAAATACCAAACAAGTAGTCATTAAAAACCAAACAAAATAAGCAAGCTAAGTCTACGCAAGCATAGCCTGACTACAAAGTCATAATTTTAGGCAATTAAAGTGTTGCCATAATCATTACAGATTACAATAATATTTTCTTGTTTCTACATTTCTTTTATTAGTTCACTGGCATGTTTGTCCTCCCAGGCAAATTTTTCATTTTTTTTGGGTAAGAAACACGTTTTTGACTCAATTTTTCAAATTATAATTCAGGTTTTCCTGTTGACCATTAAACTGTTGACGTGCTGCCTGTGGTAAACTATCTCTGCTGAGAGGTAGAGGAGCACTTTAACACACCTGTGATGAGAACCAACCCATCAACTCTTGGTGATCTGGATTTTATATTGTTTGATTTCTATATCATAGAAGATGTTTGAATTGTTAGACAGGGTCACTTGGAGTAGATCTTTGGGCTGGTTCTTAGAAAGATGCAAAGAACTTCCACTCAAAGCATTTCTGGCACCTGAGCTCTTCTGTGTTCTTCCGACTTCTCACGGTGACATATGTTTTTGAGGGTAGTGGGAAAAAGCCACTGGCAGCAGCAGATTCTTTCATCAATTTGGTCTTTCCATCCCCTGACAAAGTTGACAGTCAGCAGCTGAATATGCAATGGCTATAAATCTTGCAAAATGATTAGCCAAAGGCTATCATAATTCATACACTCCTAAAGATTGAGAAGTGTTCTACCTTGTTGGGGTTCCTTTCCAGATTTAATTCACGTTACTCTTTGAGTTAGCCTAATTGAAACAGAACAGCCACTTTGAAAATTAAAAAATCCCAAACCACCCACCCTAATATATGTCTTTTTTTAAAAAAAATCTTCATAGGCTTATAACTATTGAAAGCCTGACTTTGAAGATCATGAGGATCAGAATATAAAAATATATAATAATATAATTATAAAAGTACATAATAATAATATATTATATATAAATATATAACAATAAAAATAATAATCTTATCATAAATGTTAATTAAAACATTGTGAAAAAGTGAACTGCAACTCCTGTGTTCCTTACTGCTTCTGGTCAATCTAAATACATTGTTTTCTTGTCTTTGTTGACCTGCAAAATTATTAAAAAGCTGCAGCAGGTTTCTTTTCTTTCCCACTAAATTGGAGCAGTTAGCAACAGGTAACTAAAATCAAATACCATTAGCATGCTCTTTACAGTTAGAAAGAGAGGCAATAAATAACTTTTAAAAGCCATGTATACTGCTATGCAGCTTTGGAACTTAACTGTGTGCTTTTTCTATCTGATTTATGAGGTACTTACAGATTTTACTGGTGCTCAGTGCCAGAAGACTGAGCTTGCTGAGAATTTGTATGCAGAATCATCACAATGTTTTAGAATTACACAGCAACAGAGTCAAGTTAACACACCTGTTTTGTGCATCCAAAAGCCATAATACCAACCAAGTGTAGAGTTAGACATTTCAGAGTGTATTTTTGTGTCCCTTGCACTTGAGTAAAGCAAGCATTTCCCTGAATTAGTGTGTGAGACTCCTCCTATGGGTTTTTTTTATGCATGTAAGGTGATTTGGGGAGAGAAAGGGAAGAGAACTGGGACTTCAGTTAAGCTAAACTGCAGCTTTGCTGTTGAATAGTTCTATTGACAATCAATGTGTTCACGGGAATTCTGGCAAATATCTTTCTGACAGCTAATTGGATGTGTGCACACAGCTTTCCCCCGACCCCCCTCAAAGGAAATGTAGAAACTTGTGATAATATTTAAGAAATTGAATGAAAACAAAAAATGAAAATGAGAACTCACAAAATGAATATAAATTATATGATTTGAAGATCATTTTGCCTAAGTAACATGTCACCCTCCCATCAATTTTCATCTGATGGATCCTGGGGGAAGGCAAGAAGGAAAGAGCTATCAATCCTGCAACGTGAGAGGTCTGATCGTCCCAGAGTAATTCAGCCCAGTGCCCCATGAGACTGTGGTGACCTGAGATCAGAAGCATGATTTCAAATTCTCAGGATTGAAATCATCACGATTTCAAATCACCACGATTTCAAATCACAGGTAGGTGAGTGTCACTAGGCCAGATCCAGTTCAGGAATCATTTTACTGCAGTCACTGAACAGACAAGAACACTGAATATTGATATTAATTGTAGTTTACATTTAATTGCAATTAACATTTTTTCACATGAATAACATTTTTAATGTGAAGAAGTTATTTTTTAATCCTATTTTTATTTCATACTTATCCCCATATGTTATTTGGTTCTTTTAAATAATGTTAATATTCTTTTTAACAGCTTTAAATGCAACAGAACATCTCCCTTTTGATTTATAAAATATGTTTATGAGATTAAAATCATGTATGATATTAAAATACATTAGACTAATGGAGACACTGTCAATTAAAAGACTGCTCCAAAGCTGCAGGTTTTGGTCTCAACAAAGTCTCTTCTAAAAATCAGCCCTTGAAGCTTCTAGGGGAACGATCTGGGGCTTTTTCAGTCGCCAGGGAGCTGAACTCTGAGCTCTCACTGCTCAGCACAATTCATAATAGCCTAAATATCTTTATAATTCAAGAATTTCATCTCATCTGAAGTGTCAAAGTAGAATACAAATAGAGAAGTGACCTTTAATCAGTAACTTGAACTATAAAACTCCTGTGTATGGAAACAGTCTGGAAGCAACTGCAAGCTTCCCTGTGAGCAATCCCACCACAGCAAGCAGGCAGGTACATCCTGTGTGACATGAAGAGATATCAGATTTAGTTTGGTTTGAATGCAAAACAGCATGGAGATGAATCTCCGAAAAGAGAATTTGTGTTTCTCTTTCCCAAATGAATGAAGGAAGAAACCACCCTTGGCTCCAAATATTACTATTTGTCCATAAAAAATAGGGAAAATAATAATTTGCACATATTTCAAACAAAAATATGTCTTTTCCATCAGGTGTGTTTTACTTGAAGCTGTTTCATCATAATAAAAAGCAAAACTCTAACAACCATTAGAGTCTCCCTAAAATGCTCTTAACAGCAATAGCTGCAACATAGGTTTAATTGATTTTCATTTAAATAAAAGATTTTTATTTAAATATAGTTTTTGATAAAGAAGAAAGGAAATTCTTTCAGTGAAAAGACTGAAAAAGGTCCTATTTGACTAATGCCACAATGACTAATTCAAAATTATAACAACAAGAGAATTTTTTTATTAATTTTTTAGACACAGTTCTCACAAACCAGATACACACAAAATAATCCCTTGTCAGTGCTGCTTAAAGATATCCCTGGAAAATCTCTGTATGGTGGACCAAAGTATGCATGCAGTGTCTGATAGCTTTATTAAATGCATAAAGAAAAAACTACAGAAGGATGTGCAGTGTGATATGACTGGGAGAAAAGAGATTTTTAGATTTCTCCACATTTTCTCTGCGAGGCTGTGTTGGCGGCACTCATATTAATTCAATTTTATAACTCTGTTTCTTCAGTAAATATTCAGTCCTGCTGTAACAGATGATCTGGGATTGCATTGGCAGAAGGAGCTCCAGCTTTCATTTCTTTTACATTCTGCTGTTGGTCATTTCAGGCAGCATTCAAGGAATGTGCATATGAAAAGGAAAGGCACTTCAAGCTTCTCGCTTTCATTTACATCACTGGAATGTGGAAGTAGTTTCAGAAGAGTCAGATGAGGCCCACGAGGCCTCAAGTCCTCGAAGGCTCACAGCAGCATCGAGTTATTCATCAATGCAACGGGTTCTGTGTGCACAGAGAGCCTCAGAGAGGCCACACTGCCACTCTACAGACCCAGGGAAAAGGCAGCCTGACAGAAGTCATCCTGACAGGAGGACTCACATCATGCCAGGAAGGATACAAGAAATAAAAAGAGCTGATCTCCAATCCACATCCACTCTTGGATGCTCCTAAATGGGTACAATATTCAGCGAGCATCTTTTGAGTAGTGGATACTTTTGTTTAGGGACACGAAGCCCATGCCCTGCAGGAACAACTGCTGGTGTTATCAACACCTGTGGACAAACAGCCCCTGCCTGCTGCCTCCAAGTACCAGGAATGCTCCCTGGACACAAGTGCTACCCACAAGACCCAGAGTCACCAAGCTGGACTTGAGAAAGATTACACAGCTTGAGCACAGGTTAATGTCAGCATTTGGTGAATGAGAAGACACTTATACTTGAATGTTTACCCAAGAGAAAATTCTGTAATTTCTGAATTTCTGCCTCAAAGAAGACCAAGGAGGCAGCATTTCTGAATTTCCTCCTAATTTCCCACAAACCTCAGGGAGAAAAGATTTTGAACAGTTCAATTGAATGTAATAATACATAGAAATACATGAAGCTATCTACAAAAATAAAATGTGACATGCAAATAATAAACATTAACTTTTTTTTAGATCTCAAGAGTTTAAAGGTAATTACTGGAATTGTGAACATAGTGACATCCAGAAGGGCTGTGCAAGATAATCCTGAGAAAAGAGAAGTAGAGATTTATCTGAGTTAACACCCAAAATAAAACCTCATTACTTAGAGCTGCTCTCCTGCCGCTGGAAGAAGCAACAAAGTAGAACTCATCATTACATTATGACATTTCTTTTAATGTCAGTTAAATGGAGGAGACTCCAGAGTTTCTCAATGGAGTTTCTTCTGCCCATACACAAACACACACACGTACTACTAAAACAAATGAATACTAAAAAGAGAGGAACCAATCATAAAAGATCCCTAAAAAAACCCATGGATGCCTGTCCCTCATTTTATTGCAATTTATTGCCACAGTTTCTCAGCAGGAATCATCTATATAGACCCAAGAGACCAAATGACATCTTTGTGAGTGGCTATTTATCTCTATCTCACTTATGTCAGGAAAATTTGTATTAAAAGCATAACAAATGATTCTTGAATTTGTAATATCTAATTTATGTGATATAACTAACTGCTCAGTGATATATTAATGTCAATCTCAGTTAAACTGGCCCAATTTCATTTCAGTTGCTACCAGAAATGAATGTCACCCTTACAAACTATATTCATTTTGAATGCATTGAGTATAATGAAGTACAGTGTTACCTTCCAAAACCAATTTACAAGGGTTTTAGTATATATATATGTGTTAGCACATTAACCTGTACCAGCTCTTCAGCCAGTGAGGAATTAAAGCACAAAGATTAACAAAACCAGAATGTAAAAGCTTTTCAGCTGTATCAGTGTGAGAAGGGAGAATGAATCTGTGAACCTTTTTGTAAAGGGGAGGGGAGTAGCCAAGACAGTGCAGTAAACACAGAGGAAAACACTACAGTTTGACAAAGGAAGGAGATGGCCATATTGCTGCTGGCCCTTCCTTGCCATTCTGGTTCATATCTGTTAACAGAGTTGTGTCTAAAAATGAATTAATACTTGGAAGAGTAAAGTCACTTTCTGAGGGAAAGGCAAGGAAAATGTATCCTGTGCAGGAGGTGCAAGTGAAATATATGTAGGCAAGGAATGAGGAACACCTACAGAGAAGAAAGTGGGAGCCATGAAGTAAAACTCAGAGGCTTGAAAAGAGACTGTAAGACATGTAGCATGAAAGAAGGGAAAAAGAAATCTTACAGGGACAGGTCAGGCCAAAGACCAAGAGGGAGGAACATAGTTAAGAATAAGGAGAAATGAAGCATAGTCAAAGTCTATTTTGGTCTAATGTAATCAAGAATGAAAATAGATGATGTGGAGGATGAGTGAAATTTATAAAAATATTAATATTCAACAATTATAAATAAAATAATTTCCCGGTCTTGAAGCTGGGAAATTACAGGTATAAATTAAGCAAAAGGTTATCTCTTTTATGAGGCTGAGAAGTTGCAAGCCAGTTTCTATAAGATTTTGAATTTCCCTTGGTTTGCAGACAGATGGAAACTACTAAACTGAAGTCTTAATTTTGAAAAAAATTACTTAGATGTTTCCAAGCCTTTAAGCAAATTGTAATAATAATACTGAGGTGTAGGAGTTTTTCTTGCATATCTGAGGCAGATAAATACTTAGATACTTCTAAGCCTTATTTAATGCTTCAAATACCTGCATGACATTTCATAACTGACCCTTTAGCTGAAAGACCAAGTTAAATACACATATCCAAGAGAGTGGGCCACAGTGATGGGTTTAGGATTGGGTAAACCAAGGACTTTTAAGAGCTGTCAAGATTTTCTGGAGTCCATAAAGAGAAGTTCAGTGCTTCTTTAACGTCAAAATCATCACTATTCCTTTCAAAAAACAAAAAACATTTCCAAGTTGTGTTGCAATTTTCTATGACTCAGAGGGATTGTTGATATGTAGTAGGCTCACTATTGCTTTTATTTGAAAATGGTCTGTCACTGTTTTACTCTATGAAAGACCAATTGGTTTCAGGTAGAACACCAAGATATGAAAATAAAGTTAAATCTCTGTCTTAAAAATTAATATGCCCAGAAGCAATAAATGCTGTATGCCCACTGCAGCCTTAGTTTCCCTGCAGTTACTATCTCTTCTGTCTCTTGAAATGACCCCCATGCCTTTTTTTTTTGTACACTCATTTACACAGTTGCTGGCCCAGTGTGTGCACTTCATCAGTATCTTAGTTTGTAAGGGATCATTTACTGAACAGGGTTTCAGAGGCTGTGTGCAAATGTTTACAATCAGTGAGAGCATACAAATACAATGCATTGCCACCATTTATTAAGTGACTTCTAGAACCAGATCAATCACATTTTCCTCTATGAACATGATGCAGCAGCAAGCATTTGCCCTGTCCCACCAACTGCAGAGAAGCTAATTTTGTTTTCCATTTTATATTACATTTCAGGGAGCATGTGGTGACTAAATTTCTTTCATAGCTTGTGCTAAATGTTTATCTCATGAAGGCTTACAAAGAATAAGAAACAAGCAACTCTGTGGCTGCTCCAGTGTCAGAGTAAGCAAAGAAACCTTCACTGTCCCCCAATCAGACTTACATTTTTTGCAGACTTGTCCCCTCAGACCACAGGTTTTCCACTAAACTTTGCACACCAGTCTTGGACGTTTCCATTCTTGGCTCACATTCACGGAGCAGAATTATTTAGACAAGCTCCAATTTCTCCACTTTGGAATGGGAGGGAAATGTGTGGTGCTGCCAGGAAGAAGATTATATCTTTGTTTTGGTGGAGGTTTCAGGCTCTTCAGAGAGCCTCTGGTTGTGGCTGTCACTCTCTGCCACACTCAGAGGCTTTTTTTATTGTCCCTGTCAGTTAGCAGCCCAAGGTTACTGCCAGCTCTCTGTCAGTGCTTTGATTTTTGTCAGCTATGGCCAGGTCCTTTTAGTTATCTGCTATCTTTTCAGCTTTGTTCAGCCTGAGCTCTACTTGTCTACTAATTAGCTCTTTGGAGATTTCCCTTTTAAAACTCACTATCACAGAGGACAGGAACCGTTCAAAAGTTTTGTGCTTCATAGAAATTCCATATTCATCCACATCCCATACAGCCATCTTTTTAAAATTAAAAGTGGCAGGTCAGGCCAATTTAAGGTATATAAGCAGCACAGCTTGTAAAAAGATACCTTTAGGTTCTTGATCAGGTATGTAGATGAATGACAGAAAAAGAAAAAAGAAAAGGTTTCCACTGAAAGGACCAAGGTGTACAAATAAAAAAGAAACTATCATTCTGTGTAACATATTCTCATTTTCTTTATCTTCTGGTGTGCAAATATTGTGCTAGCTGAATATAAAAGTAGCACAACTTTAGGGTACAAAAAAAAAAAACCACACTGTAACAACATCAAGAGTGGTCTTACATCAAGGAGGGCCCTGAGGATGTCTTTGTTGTCAACTTCAGAAGAAAAGAGAGGAACAGAAGAGGAAACTGGCAGAAGGAATAGATGCCAAAGAGAACTCAAAGGATTAGGTCCGGGTGAGGTGATCGGTATTCGAAAACAGTCTGCCTTCTGGCTCTGATCTAAGGGAATAGGCTGGCAGCAAAGCCAGAGGGCATAACAGCACAAACACACCTTCAGCACACTGCTGGAGGCTTGCCTCAGTGCCTTAAAAATTGTGGTAGCAATTAGAAATAAATGTATATAGGAGCAATAGGCAAAAGTGCTCTATTTATGAATAAAAGTCCTCTTTTTACATAATACTTGGTCTACTCACATCTTCTTTTCCTTCTTTTTTGACACTTAGCACGTTTTTCTTGTGGTATCTCATCGATGCTGTAAGTTGCGCCTACATTGCACTTACATAGTGTTAATGCCTGGAAGATGAAAGTAAAAACCTTTGAATATATTAATGCTATAACACAGATGTCTTACTTTTTATACTCCTTTTTTAGAAATATGGTGTGGTTAATAATGATGCAGATTGTGCTGGATGGATGAGCAGATGAAACAGGGGAATACAGATTAAATAAAAATTTCTTCAAAGCTTACGTTTGCTTCATAATTTAACTTCTGTACTTGTCATGATAGTAGTAGCTAGGTGCAACTATGCATAATCACATTGTTCTAAAATATCCTGGTGAAACAGAGCAAACTTAATCTAAACAGCACTGCCACACTTGTTCAGATAACTGGGGGAAAAATGTAATTAGGAGATGTCAGCTTGGCTCCATGGATGATGATAATTACAAATCTACAGTTACAATAAAATATACACAAACAGTTTTACAGTGGAGAACCAAACATTGCCACGGAAGGAAAGGCTGCAAAGAGACAGTGGAAGAATCTGTCCAGACTTCCTTTTAGGATACAACATCTCAGGTACTTTATGCCTGATTTCTTTTTTTTCTGCTCTGATATTTGTCTTACGCATAGGGCATAAGAAAGAAACACAGATTTGGCAGCTTTTGCTTTGGTAATGGGAAAACTCCCTTCTCAGGTCACTGCCAACCTGGGTGATGTCTGGCCAGCATGTGCTGACTCCAGAGCACTCACAATTCTGAGAGCTGTTTTTGTTTTTCAGAGCTCAGGTTTTCAATGGCCTGGGTATTAGAAGGAGTTGCCAGGATCATTCTTATTCTTTGAACTCACTGTGCACATGGGGTCCTTTGCTCCTGATGTTTGGCCAGACTGACAAATCAACAAACATTTAGTTGTTTCTTGTTCTCATCGTTGGATGTTTCCAGCTGCTTTTAAAACTGTCTGCTGGTAGATTTGTAGACTTTACACATTTTTTGTATTTCTTGCATATTGAACATTTTCGACACATTTCACTACAATATTGTAACTCTGCTCTTTTCAAGGTTCAACCATAGTGTTTACCTTGTTGGATTAATCTAAACTGGGACATAAAGGTAACATAGATATTTCAGCTGCATGCACTGAAAATATTTTGATGTCACCTCCTACTGGTTTTAAGAAAATTCTGACTAGTCACACTTATTTCCAAACAGAATTGCAATTGTCAAATGGCAAAATTGAACTGACCAAATTTTGTATTAAAAAAGCCAATTCATTAATTATTTGCATTCTGTTGATAACAGCTGTTTTTATATGAAAGCTGCCTGGTGACCTTTTTGGAGCAGCAATGCTGCAGACACCTTCTCATTGGCATCACGTCTTTTGTCTGTCCCTGCCTTCTGAATCTCATATTTGTGCATGGAACACCCAGTCACCTGCTCCAGGGTGATACACAGCATGCACCAAGTTGAAGCAGTTGTGTCTCCATTGCATCTTTGTTCCACTGACTACTTAAATGCTTGGGAGCAATTTAGTTCAGAAAACTTAGGGATGTTAAAAGCCTCTCAGCCTGCCCTTCGTCACTAGGAGGAAGACATACTTCAGGTATGGGTGGCTGTCATGTTCCTTTAACCTTTCCAGGTTTAGGGAATACTCATAACAAAGAGCAAGTGACCCCTGCATAACACTGCTGGCAATCATTACTTCCCTTGTTTTTCCTTTATTTTAGTTATGCTTCCTAAGCTTGCTTGTAGAAGCAAAAGGATGTTGCAGACATGATCTACCTTGAGTTTCTGCTTACTTCAAATTACTAGACCTGAGCATGCTGATCACCAGGACATTTATCACAAGAAGCCTTCTTAGCACATTTGGCTGGTAGCATTAATATTCTTCTACAGAAAATTTAATCCACATTGTCTCTTAGCCTTCCATTTATACTCTGTTGTGTGGAGATTAAGGTAAACAACTGCTTGTTTAATACAAAATTGCCTGTTTGCCAGACTATGCTTTTCCAGTCAATTCAGATATGATTTCCTCAGTTGCAGGCATTTGTTACTCAGCTTATCTCAGTATCATCCTATATAATTGAATTGCTTTATGCAAATGGATTTTGTAATTTTTCTCACCAGATACTGCTTATCATGCTGCTTATCCAAATCAAGGGCTGTATTTTCCACTTGCTTATAGTGATAAAATGTAATGCATCAAGTGAATAATTTTATTTAGTTCTAGCACGTATCTGATGGACAATACAGCCCTTGAAGTACCTCTCAGTAATCTCTCAGTTTTGTTCCAAGGTGAATATTTCACTTTGACCAACTGTATTTCTTCTTCTGTGTTTGTTTTATGCGTTGTTTGCTGTATATAATAATTGAGGAAATGTAGTATTATAATAATTGAGGTAATGCATACCCTGCATTTGAATAGTGATTCAGCTGGTCAAAACCAGCATGAGGGTTCATTGCCACTGCATTTGTAGCATGTTTGGGAATCTTTTGAGAAATGCCTCATTGGCTGGGCACTGGTGGATTGGCTGTACCAGTAGGGATATCTGGCCATAATGATTTAAAAAGGTACCTTCTCCAAAAAACAGAAGTCTCTTACCGTGATCTTGAGACTGGCTAAAGATCAATACCAGTAAAAGAGAGAATGCAATGGAAATTTAATTGACTGAAACTGATGTCAGAAGTAAGGTTTAACTAGTGGACAAAACAATGGTGGGTGCTCTATGCTGCTTCTTTTCCATATCCATCCCACCCTCCCTGCGCGGAGTAGCTCTGGAGGATGGATACACCAGGAATTGTAGCTATAGGAGCAACTAGAGGCCTGTACCTCCCAGTTAAGGTTCATGAAAAGTTCATCAAGCTCAACAAAATCACACTTTTGCTGAAATAAAATTCTTCCAACACTCCTGGTCACAAAGAAAAATTCCAGAATATGATGTAAATATGAATAAAGTCATGATACCTGCCTATGTTTGCAGAGAGCTGGGTTACTATTTGTGTGTGAGAAGCTCCCATAGGCAATATTTCATGTTGTTTTCCTGCCACATTTCAAGTTCAATATGGACCTTTTACTAGGTACAGGAATATCTCTCTAGAAAAAGGAAGGGCAGACAGAACCATGCTAACACTAAACTAATTTTCTTCCCAAGGACTTAATTAAAGAGACAAGATTTCTTCAGGACTTGAACAAACACTAGAATTCCTAAAATCAGTTTTTGAGTGATGTAAGTGCTAACATCCCTACTTTACAGAGAAAAAAAAACCAAGACAGAAACATTTTTATTGGTCTTGATTTTAGGCCCCTTGCATTTTGGGTCCATATTTTCTCTTTCTGGTCTCCTCCTGTGCTCCTTCTTTGTCTAAAAGATATTGGCCTCTCCCAACTGCAGCTCAGAAGAATTCTGTCAATTCTTATTGTCACAGAAAACTAAACCCAAACTATATCAGGTAGAAGTCCAAGTATTAAAAGTTTCAGAGCAAGAAACTCTCAGCATCTTACTGAGGTCTTTGAGATTTGATTTCCTCTAGCTCAGCACTCCTGCACCAGAAATTCACAGTGCTGCCAGCAGGTATCTATGTGAGTGCAAAAAAAAATCTTTTATAGAAAAGGCCAAAGGCCAAACAGCTGCTGCATAAATGCTTTGAAAGTCAGGCTCTGCAGTGGTGAGTGGTTATGGGGACATCTACAGTCTCTCAAATAGACAAGAGCCTACTTTGTTCATTCTCTGGGCTTTCCAGGCATGCATCACTCCAAGCTAAAATCCTGCAGCCATGGTCAGTGCTTTGATGAACCTGGGGCAGTGGGCCCTGCAGTGAGGACCAGCATTACAAAAATGGGATTATTTGGCTTTAGCTGCCCAGGCTGCAGCCAAGCCTCACAACATCCATTTACAAACACTTCAAAGACTTATCATAAACATCATCTATTGCCTTACTCTCTTGGAAATAAAGAAATATAATGATACAGAAGTTTCTTCTTCCTCCTCTCATGGCTGGTTTCACACATTTTTGCTTCTTACAAAATCGTATTTATGTATTTTTTTTTTCCTAAAAATTATTGTTTTATTTTTTCAAAGAATTAAGCCACCCTACAAAGCAAAGGGTCCTGTGGAGAGAAGGCAGAGCAGCAGTTTAGGAAGCTTGGGAGTTTTCCACATCACCTTTTTTTTCTGGCTGTGAGTGCAATGAAGTAATTGAGCTCTGTGTAATTAATAAAATTGGAAATTTACATAATGTCTGACTCTTTATATGCTATGATACATTAAAAATGGTAATTCACCTGATTTTTACTAGGTACTGCTAAGATGAAGTGACAGCTTTCCTTCTTTTGAGCAGTTAAAAGAAGTGCCTCAGTAAATGCAGTCTATTAAGTTCACTGTTTTTTAATTTCTTAAATCATTCAAACCCCACTCACGTGGCACTACATAGCAGGCAATACTTTTATTATTTTGTTTTTGTTGATTTGGTAGATAAGGAAGGGAGTCTCTCTGTATTTTTGAAATAGCAGCAGGAATTAAAAGCTTTACAGTGGCTCTTGTGTCAGAAACTAAGACTCAACATAACTGGAAGCTGAGACCCCCACATTCTTTTCCTTCTAGACCTGTTTCAAAAGTTATTTATGCTGTCACAGAGAGTCTGAAAGACAACTGTGAGGTTAGTGGAGACCTTTAAGTTTATAAGTAATCATCTGTAAGTGATTACTTATAGAAGCTGTCTACATGTGTAGATAGGTGGTGTGCTGATTTTGTCATTCCTTTCTTGCTGTCTCAATCCTTTCTCTTTTTGGGAGAGAACCGTCAGATCCCTAAAAATGCCATCCCATTTTTTAACAACTGAACTAAATTAACATTTGCCCTGACAGGACAAAAATCCTGGTGATATCAGGCAAAGTCATAGGGACAATATAGGTGGTTGTGTAGAAGGGTTTAAAGTCCAGAGGAACTGAGAAGAGGAAAACAAGCTAACAGGAGATAATCCCAAACTAAATGGAAACAATTAATGGAAGTTGCTAGGAGAGAAAAGAAAGGAAAGTCGAAAAGTGAAGAAATTAAACATAAGAACATCCATCTGTT